GGGTTGCGGGGCTCTGGGAAGCCGCCAGCAGTGCGGAGCCGGCGTCTCTAGCGGCGCGGGTCGCCGCCGCCTTTCAGCCGTGACACTTGCTCACTAAGGTCCCGGCACGGACTTGCTCCTTGGCTTTCCCTTGGCCCTGTTCATACTGCCCCGTCCCATCTGCTCGCTGCCCCGCGCTCCCGCTGCCCGCCAGGAGAGTCCCTCTGTCCCTCCGTGAGAGGGGCCGTCCCAGGCTCGTGCTGCGGTAGGTGGAGGGCCGTCTCACGAAGCCCCACAAGTGACAGCTCCCAGATGCTCTGCTGAGGGACTCGCAGGGATATGGTGGTTGCTTTTCCCCTGTACAGTCAGAGCAGGGCAGCAAATGTGCTCCACGGGACATTGTCCACAGGACGATGCCAAGGTGGTAGTGAGGATCTGATTAACAGGCAAGAGCTGATTTGCACTGTGGAGCGGTGTACAAAAGGAGCCTAGGCTGTTTGTTCTGCTAGTCCGACTTTCTTCCCTTGTGTTATAATGACTCCTAATTTTTACTACATCACTTTATCAATGCGCTTTACAAACAAGGAACCAGGCAGCCAGCATACAGGTGTAGAAACAGAGAGATGTTCTGCCTATGTGCCTGCACTGAAGCGTTCAGACTCCAGTCCCCCTGCCTCCCAGGACTCAGTGCATCAGTTTGACCACAGTACTGTGCCAGGCACTGCCCAAGCACTCTAGTGATTTGACTTCCACCAGGCTGATCCATGAAGTAATCCTCTCTCGGGTGCCCCCTTCAGTGCTGTCTATGTTTCTGCAGAGTTGACACTTTGAGCAGCCACGACCACCAACTTTTCCAAACCATGCGATTCACCATTGAAGAAATAAACAATTCCAGCAGCCTCCTCCCCAACATCACTTTGGGCTATGAGATCTATGACGTATGCTCAGAGTCTGCCAACATGTATGCAACACTGGGTGTCCTCGCACCGAGCATGCGGCGCCGTGTGGAGATGATCAGCAACTTTTCACACTACCAGCCCAGGGCTCTGGCTGTGATTGGGCCACACAGCAGCGGTTTTGCCCTCACATCTGCAACTATACTGAGCATTTTCCTCATGCCACAGGTAACTACAGCTCCTCTGGAGTAGTGCCAGATGTATTGTAAAGAGGGACAGTAGCCCTGGGGTGATTATTTGATTAATAATGATGACTGCAGGGAGTGGCTGTAGTTGACAGGAAGCAGTTGGACAATCAGAGCTCTGAGCAGACAAGGCAAACCCTACATCCTTTTGCAACAGCTGGGACTAAGGCTCAGTTGCACTCCCAGTCCTAGCACTGCAGGCTTGTGCAAATTCTGCTGGCAGGGTTGCTTCCTGAAAGTATCTGGTGACAGTGCTGACTGGCACAGCCAGCCCTTCCACGGCCCAAATACCTGTTCTTACCCCACCAGGGCTAATGCTGCTCAAGTGGACTCCTCCTCAAGACACTGCTCAGCAGCAACCCCCTTTGCCCTGCTTGGTGCCACCACTTGGTGCCAGTCCCTTTTATTGTCCCGACTGTTGCAGTTCAGTGAAGGCATAACTCTTTCCTGTTTCCCTTCAACAGATTAGTTATGAAGCCTCCACGGAGATGCTGAGCTTGAAGCATATCTACCCCTCATTCCTGCGTACCATCCCCAGCGACAGGGTCCAGGTGGAGGCCATGGTGCTTCTAATGCAGGATTTCAGGTGGAACTGGGTTGCCATGGTTGGCAGTGACACTGACTATGGTAGGAAGGGGATACAGACCTTGTACAAGGCAATGACTAAGCGTGACATCTGTGTTGCCTACCGAGGACTCATCCCTGCAAACAAGAATGCCAGCAGCACAGAGCTGAAGAATATGGTTAGAGATATTGTAGGCACCAAAGTCAACGTCACAATCGTCTTCTCTGACAGACGCAGCGCCAGGGTCTTCTTTGAAGTAGTAGTTCAGGAGAATGTGACAGGAAAAGTCTGGGTGGGTACTGAGAACTGGTTGCTAGCCCCACTGGTCTCGGATGTCCCTGGCATCTACCAGGTTGGTACAGTGATTGGAATGTCAGTCAAGGCCTCTGATTTGGAGGCGAAGTGGTGGGATACTGGGAGCAATAATCACCTTAACATCAGTGATACTAGCTCAAGCTGCAATCAGCTATGCACACAGTGCCACTTGCTCCCTCCTACGCCTGATGCTCGGGCGATGAAGTCCTCCTATAATGTGTACTCAGCAGTGTATGCTGTGGCTCATGGCCTGCACAGCCTACTGGGCTGCAACTCAGGAGCATGCCGCAAGGACGAAGTCTACCCCTGGCAGGTGAGTGCAAAACTAAACTGGCCCTCTTCCCCCTGCCCACACTGGGGTGTGAAGCTTAACTCTGGCAAGCCTCTGTGTAAGGCCTAGCTCCCAACAGGCGTGACTGCTGTGCAGACAAACAAGGGGCTGGAACAAAGAGGAAGCACAGGGCTGTGGAAGCATCAGAGGAGAGGAGATGAACTCATGTGGTTCTCAGATCTGCAAGCCAGGCAGGTGACAATAAGATTTGTGTGCTGATCTAGTTTTAGCCACAGAACAATTCCAGCAGTACTTGCCAAAGGGCCCTACTCTTCCCTGGAAAGATGCAAAAGAGATGAAGGGGGCTCCAGTAACCACGGTACTAATGTGGGAGACATTAGCCAAATCCTCAGCCATCAACACTACTTAAAGCTCATTCAAAAAAATCAATGGTTCTTAGCTGCCAGACTTGCCCTGACCTGGAGGCATCTTCTGCCATAACAAGGGACTTTTCTTTCTGCTCTTTGTATACAGCTCCTGCAAAAAATCAAGCAGGTGAATTTCAGCCTGCATAAGAACTGGATATACTTTGATGTCAACGGGGATCCCATGACTGGCTATGACCTTATCATGTGGAAGTGGACTGGCCCAGCCTGGTCTTTTGATACCATTGGATCTTTCAGTCGCAACCCCGACAGGCTGAGCATCGATTGGGACAGAATTGTATGGCACACTGAAGATAATCAGGTGCCCAGAGCACGGGGAGTGGGACAGAGTACTGGTACTGGCACCAAAGAGTATTTCTTGTCATTCAGAATTAGTTCTTGGAAGATGGCCTTGGAGAATAGGTCCCTGGGAGGTTGGGGGAAGGGAGGCTTGGCCCCACTTCTGCTATTATGGTTCACTAGTGTCACACCTTCCAGTCAGAGCTGTATTCCCCAGGCTAGCAACTGGTTCCTGCCCACAGTAGGCAGGCCTGTTCAGGCTGCTGGCAGGCATCAGTTCCTTGTAGGCCTGACCTTTGCTGGGCTCCCATCTAGGTTCCTGCCTCCATATGTTCCAAGTCTTGTGAAAGAGGAGAGAAGAGGACACAAGTGGGGCTTCACCGCTGCTGCTTCGACTGTGACGCCTGCCCAGCAGGAACTTTCCTCAACAGTAGTGGTCAGTACAGCCCCAAGCAGCTTGTCCTACTCTGCCCCAGCTATCCCCACCCCTCCAATCTAGCATGGTGTGTGCCTGGCTCCCTACTCATCTGCTCCTCTTCCATGCTTACTCTAGCTCCTGGGTTCTTTAAAGTCCTTACCTTTGCTTTTGCCCTCCTCTGTCCACTGAGTCCTCTTCCTCCTCCTCATTTCCCCTTCCTCCTCTTGCTGTCCCAGTAACCAGGCTTTAAGATGCAAATGTGCCAAGTACAGGTTGTTCTCTGGCTTCCCCACTTGTGTAGTCTTTCCGAAGGGCTGCTGTGGTATGCAAAACCCAGCTTTGCTCCAGCACATTCTTGGGGGGCTATAAATCTGTGGTTTGATGCAGCCAAATTAACAGGTGAGATTAAGCTGATGAGATGCTCTTCTCCTTCCTGCTCATGGTGAGGTTGGGGAAGGGAAGGCTTATTCAGAAGCTGCTGCCTGCTCCACATCCTTTGGGAGGAAGAACCTGCCCAGAGTTGTCTTTGTCTCCAGGGAGGATGGAGCAGCCCCAGATGGCAGCAAAGTGCTGATGCAGTTCAGTTGGTGTTTGCTCTGGGACAGCAGGAGTGGTATGGAAATACTTCTGTCCTGGGGGGCCTTATGTTGGCTGCAGGACAGTCTGCCTAGTGAGCCAGCTGCACAAACAAACCCAAAGCAAGAAACATCTTTGGCCCCTTTGTTCTGCACTCAGCAAAAGCAAGCAGGCATGCTCTTTCCCCAAGGATTAAAGGCCCAGGCAATGGGGAGGCAGCAGTGAAAATTATCCAGCACCTGCCCAGCCAGCTGGTGCTAATTGCCCTGCACCTAGAGAGCAGCTGCTGCAGATGTATTCCCCACTCTGGGGCTCTTGCACTGGTGAAACCTTGACGTGCCTTCCCTATCCCAGGAGCAACTCATTGCAGTGCCAGAGCCAGGACTCCAGCTGAAAGCCACAAGGCCTATAAGCCCCTTTTCCCAACTGGGTCCCCAGGAGCTGTGCCGGTCTGAGGTAGGCTCTTGCAGAGATGGCTGCAAAGACCAGAACACTTCCTTTCACTTGCCTCAGCTGCCTTTGCACAAGACTAGCCAGGTCACTTGAGCTGCTGCTACTGCCCCAAGGCTTTAGGCTCCATCACCTTTTTGACTGGTTCCCTGAACTGTCTCCTAGAGGTTGTGCACACAGAACCCATGGCACTGAGGACCCCAAGGTGTTCTCGTGTCACCCAAGGACCCCAAGCACCTTCTATGTGTTGCAGGACAGCTGCTGCATTACTCCCCAGAAGCAGCTGCATCTCACCGGATCCTTTTATGCGAGGTGTTCTAGTAAGGCAGGCTGTAACTGGCTTGCTGGGTTTCTGAAATTCATCAGTTCTGTGGATTTCCTTTCTCTACAGACCTCTACACATGCCAGTCCTGTAAGAAAAGTCAGTGGGCCCCAGTGCACAGTGAAACCTGCTTTGAACGGTATATCGAGTTCCTGTCCTGGGCTGAGCCTGTTTCCTGGGCACTGCTGACTGCCATCACCCTCTTGATGCTGCTTCTGATGAGCACAGCCATCATCTTTGCACTGAACATTACCACGCCTGTGGTCAAATCTGCTGGTGGCAAGATGTGCTTCCTCATGCTTGGTGCTCTGGCCTGTGCCAGCAGCAGCCTCTACTGCCACTTTGGCAAACCCACCTGGCTAATGTGCCAGCTGCGCCTGCCAGTCTTCTCCATCAGCTTCTCCATTTGCCTTTCTTGCATGGCTGTCCGTTCTTTCCAGATAGTCTGCATCTTCAAGCTGGCTGCCAAGTGGCCTGCCCTCTATGAGACTTGGGTGAAACACCATGGGCCCAACCTGTTCATTGGAGCCAGCACAGCTGTCCAAGCAATGTTGAGCCTGACTTTGCTCGTGATCAACCCCTCAGTACCTCACAAGGACTATGAGAGGGTTGCAGAACTCATCCTTTTTGAGTGCTCCCAAGAGAACTCTGTGCTTCTCATGTTGGCAATGTTCTACAATGTGCTGCTCAGCCTCTTTTGCTTTGTCTTCAGCTACATGGGGACAGACCTGCCTAAGAACTATAGTGAAGCCAAGTGCATCACCTTCAGCCTGCTCATCTATTTCACCTGCTCCATTTCCTACTTCACCACCTACAGCATCTACCAGGGCAAGTACCTGGTGGCCATAAACTTGCTCTCCCTGCTGTGCACCCTTGCTGGGGTCTTTGGAGGCTACTTCCTCCCCAAAGGCTACATCATCCTCTTCCGAGCTGATCTCAACACCACTGAGTACTTCCAGATGTCTATCCAGAGCTACACCACCAGGAGGCGCTCAGCCTGAGCTGGAGAAGAGGGGATGGAGATGCTGGGGTTGTACCTCCCACAGCAGCCCTGCTTTTGGCCTCTGAGGCCTCCAGATCTCTCACCTTCTTGGTGTGATGGGGAGGGCATGACTCAGAAGCTAGTACAGCAAGCTGGACTCAGCTCTGCAACTGCTTTCTACCCTGACCACAGTAACTGACCTGCCAGCCTGGGAGGTGAGAGGGGCTGGAGGAAGGCAGGTGATGGTCACTGCAGGGAATGCTCTGTGTTCCAAGAAGTAGCTACTCTGAGAACAGCAAGGCCAGGGCTGATCAAGGTACTCCCAGCTTTGTTACTCATGCTGGCAAAGCCCCATGGCACCTTCTTGGGTAGGGCACATGTTGCCTATCATAGTCCTTCACCTGTCCATCAGGCTCAGTCCCTGCAAATCAGAAGGCTGGACCCTTCCTAAAGCCATGTACAGGACCTTGGCAAGGCTCCAAGGTACAAGTATCTGCAGTCTGGTGGGAAGGAGCATGGGTGCAGAGCACCTGGGCTAGCCCAGCCGAGGGAAAATGCTCTTCCCCATGTTGGTCTTTGCTTCTCCCCAACATACAAGATGCTCCCAAGCCTGCCCTCAGATTCTTGTACCAGCTTCATGACTGCATCATCTCTCACCCTGTGCTTGCTGGGCCACAAGGTCACATATCAACCAGTGCTGTTTGCAGTTTAGCTCTTATCAGGCCTGTCCTTTCCAGCATTTCATGGAGTACCCTTCTCCCTTGCATAGGTTTCTCACGGCCACAGGGTGGCACCACTACCCACAAGTTGCCTGGCTCTGGTCTTGCAGGCCACAAGCAGTGGAGACAACAGCAGGTACAGTGGAGTCGCATTTTACACGGGGGTTAGGGTCTAGAGTCAGCATAAGGCGAAAATCACGTATAGTCAAAATTACTCAGCACAGCAAGACGCTCACGCTATGAGAGGTGGGAACTCATTGAGTGGAATGGCAGGCGGAATCGCCCGCACTATTTAAATTGTTACTTTTCTTTTTTTGCCAAGCGCTTATAGTTGATTTCGTTAAGTTAAATGCACGTATGATGTGACTCCACTCTATAGTCTTTCTGTGTAGGAGAGGAGTGACTGGGGATAATGCTCCATTGCAAATAGAGCAATGGAAAAAGCATAGCTGGAGGGTACAAGTCCTGATACTGTGACCTGGCTATTAAATACCTATGCCCCAGGAGACAGAGCTTCTCTTCTTTTTTGTCTCTGCTCAGTGGAAGGAATGGCTGTAGTGGGAGCTCCCTTCAGGCTGGAACAGGAGGCCAGTGTCCCGTGGAAGTGAGCAGGGTGAGGTTTGGAAAGCAGATGGACTGTTTTAGGTCAGCAGGAGCTCTTAACCCAGAGCAGCTGAGAGGCTCTTTACGAGGTTGGCTGGTTGGTCCAGCTTGCCAGGATGCTGGAGCCACAGGCCTTGTCAGTTCCAGGTGGGCAGAGAAAGGGTGCAGTAACTGGCTAACCTAGGATAAGTCCCTAAGGCCCCACAATAGTGACAGGAATTCAGGGATGCTGTTGCTCAGCATCAGGCCCAGAGGCACACCACAGCCCATTCATTCCTGCAGGACACTGAGCAAGTAAAGCTGTTTCACTCCTACTCCCTGACAGGCTGGTCAGTCCTTTGTTACACATCCAGAAATTAAACTTTTATTTTTAAGCTGCAGGTACACAGTGGAAGACAACACCTACACACAGCACCCAAAGAGCCAACCCCAGTCACTCAAATTCCCCTACCCTCACCCAACACTTTGTCTAGGGAGGCAGAAAAGTCTTTCCCAGACTCCAAGCTAAGGTTCTCAAGGCTTGTTTGATTTGTATGGCAGGCTAAGAAGAACTGGGTTTCTCTCCCTCAGGGGTCCTCTGAAGGCAGTCAGAGACAAAGTGCTGGCTGCCACATATACAGGAGTCCCTTTCCAGGCCAGAACTCCAGTGATAGCCTCTGGGGCTGGAACTTCCATGTGCAGAGGTACAAGGAGCTTGGCCCTAGGTGAAAAGGGGCAGAGCCTCTTTCCTGTCCTGTGGCACAGGTCTAGGCAGCACTATCTTAACTGGAAGCCTGCATTCTCAGCAGTTTGTTTGCTGCACAGTATTCAGGGACACTCAAGCAGCAGTGTCAACTCTAAACACAGCCACTCCTGGGGGAAGGACTCTCTGAACAGGTCAGAGATCTCCAACCTTTCCCCTGCCTCAGTGACATGACCTCCTTGCATTGCTGGGGCATGGGCACTATGCTGCCGCAGAACCTCAGACAAAAACAAGGTCTGTCATCAGAAGAGGAACTGAGCACCATGAGACATGAGTCCTGTCATGCTGGGATGCAGAGGCATATACCTGGCTTAAGCCAGCTGCCCTGGCTAAGTCCCACCCCAGTGCTGCACACCTCTCTGTTGCCTGTTCTGGGGATGGACAATGGGGAACCGATACTGGACTTCCCCCATTGGAAGAGCTGGACATGTGACCAACAATGGACACTCACCCAGCCCATGAGGGCATGGGGTCAGGATCCTGCTGATCCACCCAGGAGGCCTCTCTTCTCCAGTCTGAAAGAGGCTGCTGTCCCAGAGGTCCTTGTGCAGCAGTCTCTGGAGCTCTTACTGATCCATCCCCAGCTCAGTTTCTCCCTACTGGAATTCTTCACCTCATGTGGCAACAGAAACACCAGTCAGCAACTGCATCAGTACCTTGGGTCATCAGCCCACTTGCTGTACTCCCTAAGATAGCCTGCGTCCTCTGTCACCAATCTGTCCCACATGCTGCTGACTGGTGCTTTTAAGACTTCCCTTAGTTTTACCTGCCTTGACCTGAGACCATGCCCCTGTGTAGCAGGCTCCTTTCCCTGCATAAGCACTGCAGGGCCAGCTCCAGCTGTTCCTGGGATTGTCCCTCCCAACTCTGGTTTTGTGCTCATGTCTGCTCCACAGCTGCCAAATGCCACACCAGAACTAGCTGCATTTCCATGTCAGAAAAATGATCCCTGAAATTTCCTGGCCAGGTGATGTCAAGCTCCCCATGTACATGTGTAAGTATTAGACAGTGTGCTACCCTCACCCCTAAGGACAGCTACTTTATTACATCTAGACCAGCAGTGCCTGGAGGCCAAAGCCAAGAGCAGAGCCCTGTCAGTTGCCGGCTGCACAGCCACTTAGAGGGCAGTCCCTACACCAGCACATTTGCAGTCTAGGCAGAGGAACACTAGGAGAGGAAGTTCTTAGTCATCAGCTCTGCATGGCCCCCTCCCTCCTTGCAGGAGCTTTTCCACTGCCTGTTTTGTGGCAGGTCCCAGGCTCAAGCTGTTGCCTCTCCCCAAGTGCAGTGAGCAGGCTCCACAGGGGTGCCAGACAAACCTATCCTCCAGCCAGGCCCAGCTCTTCATCTACCACCAAAATGCACGAAATGGGTTGATGGCATGGGAAACAGAGGGCAACAAGCACCCACACTGCTGCCATAAGTCTGCTGTCCTTCCCCACTGGCACCTGCTGCTGGATGCTTGATCCTGCCAAGGGCTTTGGGGTTCTAGAAGGAAAGAGTTGGATTCACTATGGAGGTTTTCCTGCTGTCACTTGGGACAAAAGCAAAGGAGCAGGAAAAAGCCAGAGGGCTCCTTAACCCACGAAGTTCTTGGCTGGGTTCTATAGTCCTCATGCAGCTCAGTGAGGGAAGCCTGGCTTGCTGTGCTACCAGGAGTCACGCACATCACCCACACAGCCTCAAAGCACATCCCTGGGCAAGCACATCATCACAGTCCTCATTTTCAAGACAAGGAAATGGAGGAGATGCAGGGGCTCCAAGGTCAAAGTCAGTAACTGGTGCCTCATTTTCCTAGACCAAAGCAAATGCTCTCTACTCAACAACACTACCAGAAACAGAGGGCAGGGCAGCACCTGCCATGTACATCTCTGTATTCATCCATCCCAGCAAGGCAGCTTTTCTAGACTCCACCTGGGTAAAGTGTCTGGTTCTGCTAATCATGCCCCTAACAGAGTGTTCTGCAAGAGAAGAAACAACTGCACTCATTAGCTGACCTTAGATCGAGATAGAATTTGGACAATTAGGATCTGATTAAATATAAAAGGCAGTTTCCTTGGAACTTGGAAGCATTCATGATTAAGATCCTTCTGGGATTAGCCAGAGCCTGTTTACTAACAGGCAGCAAAGACCCATTTATTGAACCCTGCTTACTGGAGTACCTGCCTGCTCACAGTAGAATATTTACAAGATTCATCCTCTCCATTTGTTCTCAGGCTACTGGAATCCCCAGGTTTGGGACCTGTTATTCTAAGCAGTATAAGTCCATTATGTATCACTCACCGTTGAAAAGACATCGCCATGCTGTCAAGTACCAGGCTACAACATGCTGAAATAGCAGAGATGCTCTCAAGGGCCAGCTCATAGGGAGGAACAATTCTTGATGCCAGCAGGAGACCATCTCATTATTCTTTCCCAGGGTAAATGCTGTGTACTATTTGCAGAAATGCCATGGTAAAGTCCAGAAACAGATGACAGACATGCATATCTGCATGATGACCACACACTGGGAGCCTGGCCTCTTGTTTCTGCTCTTGCCCCCCGTTTCTTGCCCCTCAGAAGAGCCAGGTAAACCCAGTTAGACATTTCCCCAGTGCTTTAAAGGCCATATCTATCTTGTCTCCACTATTTTACACTACATCCTGTCACATTTGTAGCTTCTCTCATTTCTGTTTTCCTGATCTCCAACTGTTCTCTTTTTTACTAACAGCCTATTTTCTACGTTGTATTCCATCACTGTAATGACTCCCGTTAGCCTTTTTTCCCCTCCCCTACTCTCTTCTCTTTCACCTTTTGTCTTTCTAATTTCTACCTATTTACAGTCTCACTGACATCCTGCCGCACTTTTAGCTTCTCTCATTTCTTGGAGTCTCGGAACTGCAGAGTCTGCATGCCTGAAGATGGATGACTGCGCCTGAAAGCTTGCTAAGAATTTTTTTCCCCCCCCAACTACTCAGTTGGTCTAGTAAAAGATATCCCATCTACTCAAAGAACCTTGCCTGCCTTGACTCCACATATGCAGCAAGCTGGGCTAGGTACAGCAGGTGCCCACAATAAGCACATAATCTGTCTCTGCTCACCCTCAGAACAGGAGAGAATCTGGGCGCTTGCAGCTAGGAAGTGAACTTCTTTGTCCAAGCCAAATTGTTAATCTGTCATGCAGGAGCTTCTCTGTGGCAGGATTTTTAGTCAACCTGCAGCCCTCCTGCAGGTTGACTGAAGGGAAGGGAAGGCAGCAGCAATCTTGTTTTGGATCATGAACTGTGTGAGATACCAGCCACTCACAGACCAAGGAGGCAGTGCACTACTAGGTAACTCTCCACCAAGGATCCCCAAGTGCCTTACAAACAGTAATTTGCCAAGTCACCCCCCAGCAGGCCTTACCCACACGGGACATGCTAGAGAGCTTGTCCCAACATCTTAGGCAGCGATTCTCCCAGTACACGCTAGTTTGTAGCTGCTCTCAGGTGGCCTTTCCAAATGACACTCGCTGCTGGCTGGGACAAATCACTGTGTCCTCAGCACAGGGCAAAGGAAAGAAACAAGGAGATTTTCCTTTGCCAGGCCAGGCACCCTGCACAGCCATCTACGTCTCTAGTCACAGGCAGGTCAGAAGCACCTTCCCCCAGGGAGCCCCTGCCATAGCAGTCTCCCAAGCAGCCCCTGGACCCAGCCGGACCTCTGCTCCAGAGCAAGGACCCAAAGCCATCTCTTTCCATCCAGGCCCCACGAGCTACGCGTCCCCCTTGCCAGGCCACGCTTTCTTCCTTCCCAGCTAGTGCAGCTGATGGAGCTCACCGCAGCTCCACTCCTTCCTAACCAGCGCCCCGCGGGCCTGC